CCTCTGACCACAAATACTGTACGTCTGCACTGGTGTGTGTCTGTTTGTTGTCCAACAGATGCCTGGCCCTGAGGTGGTGAATATGGGGTAGGTTTGTATGCACACTTTTAGATGGAAGTTTAAAAGACTTAGAATTGTGTTCCATCTAAACATCTGCTCTTTGTTTTGACTTAGGAAGTTGACATCATCACAGAGAGGAAATGGTTTACAAATCTGAAGCTGTCAATGGAAAACCCAACAGTTGTGTGGTGTGTGAAATTATTGTAATGGGATAGTAGTGTGTTCAATTGACTGTGAAGAAACTCACGGAAAATGACGGCTAACATTTTAGCCTTTAAGGCTTTAGATGGAAGAATTGCTGGATGGAACCCTGCTGGTGTAGCACCGACAGCCGTGGTTCTACTCAGATATGACAGTTGACCCTGAGGTAAAAGTATTTATTTTCAAAATACCCCTTTATGTGCTGTAAAGCCCTAATGCATCCATAAAAGCAGAGCTTTCTTTTCACCATGTGCTTGACTTTAAAAGCTGCTGCTGCTGCTGCTGCCAGAGCCCCACATGCAGTACATGCAGTACATGCAGTACATGCAGTACATGCAGTACATGCAGTACATGCAGTACATGCAGTACATGCAGTACATGCAGTACATGCAGTACATGCAGTACATGCAGTACATGCAGTACATGCAGTACATGCAGTACTTCCTTCATGTGTACTACAGGTGCAGCCACAGTTCTGAGCACAGGAAATTAAATAGGCCCAACACAAAGCTCAGGCATGTTCTTTTCAACGTGTGTCAGGATTTATATAAAGACTGGTATTTTTTATGATTATTTCATAAAAAATGTGTGTTTTCCAATAACAAGACTGGTATTTTTTATGATTATTTCAGAGACGTGTGTGTTTTCCAATAAGTGTTATCTGTGGGAGCTGGAATGAAGCTCAGGAGCAGGTGAAGGAAAACATTCTTGTGTTTCCTCCTCTTATTCACATCTGCCAATCAAGAGCTGTGACCTTCATGCATGTTAGTCCCATGTCATATGCACAGTCCTTTTGTGGTGTTTATTTCATATGTGTGTGTGTGTGTGTGTGTGTGTGTTTGTGTGTGACCGTGGGAGGAAGAGATAGATCAGATAAGCACATGGCTGGAGAGGAGCTCTCTGATTTATAGGAGCTTATTGGGCAGGAAATAGGCGTCATAGTCCAATGGCTGTAATAAACCAGTAGACCTCGGTGCACCGCCCAGCATCAAAAAGACAGGCCAAACAAAACACACACACACACACACACATATTACGACACAGCTGCTCACACACACAGACTTCCTTGCCCGCTCACTTTGCTCATGAAGAAACAAACACTGAAGGATCTCAAAGTGTAGGAGGGAAAGTGAGCAAAGCCCAGAGAGTGAGAGTCAAAGAGGGTTTGGAGAGTCCAGCAGGAGTGAAGGGAGGAAGAGGAGAGAGAGGGACGCAGGAGCGAAGGAGCGGGGGAGTGACGGGTGTGCTTGGTAGCGCTGGTCTCTGTGTTTCAGGGGAATTCCTGTAACACACCACACCTCCTGGCTTCCTTCATTAGATCAGATTGATAGTTTGTGGGGTGACACACTTGTACAGACGACCAGGCTCTGTGCTTGTTTGTGTGTGTGCAGCCTGACCTTGGCCTAGTTTATTTTGAAGGAGTTTGACAAAGATTTTTTTTTATCTTTTTTTATTTTTTTAGGAAGGCATATTTTTGAGCAGGCAACAATGTGACCTGGGTTACACTTATTGACTCTAGACTAAGAAAGAGTCTCAGAGGTAAGACTTTCAAGGTGAACTCTCATCTTTAATCTTCAGGTCACTGCAAAGTAAAAGAGCAAAAATCTTCATTAAAACTTGTGATTGTAATGTATAAACAGGATACTGAGTATCAGATAGTTTTAACATATGGGATGAGGAGAAGTACAGACACTTGTATATAGATATAGTCTGTAATATCTGCTGCTCTTTGGTTTTTCCTTTCTCCCCTGCAGATGGTGCTGTAAAGTCAGCATGAATTCCATGTGCCATGAGCAGAGTGTTGCTCTTGTATGATCATAATTCATTATTGACTAACTAGTAACCATTACCCGTAGCAGGAAAGGTTGCAAAAGAAACAGTTAAAAAAGACAATGTTAAAAAATGACACTTTATTGGTCCTGTCTACCTGTTAAATTAAGGTGACTGAGGCGACGTGAACTCTTCTCATTGTCCCTTCATCCACTGCCTGTGTTTTGCTTGAAACTAGACACTGCCCACCTGTACGCACACACTAACACACCAGACACAGGAAGAGAGAGTTGTCGGCCTACGTTCTCATTTTAGCACGACGTCCGTCTGCTTTGCGCAATTCACCCGAGAATCCTGAAATAATGAGTTTGCACATCTTTCCAGGAAGGTACAAGTTTTGGCGCACATGCACACCCACGCACGGCACACACACACATGCACACACAAGCCAGTGGCATGTTGGCAATCAGCCACCTCTCCACTGAGCTCATCAAACAGGGAGCTATTGTTTTACTCCTGCTCCACACCCTCATGAGGTGAATTCCAACTCCTCACTGCGTCTAATTTTAACTGACTCTGATTTCAACACGCTTCTCTGAATTCGGGTTCGATAGAATATTTCTTTGTTTAATGATTGACACAGTAACTGGCCTGTGGCTGATAAGGCCTGATCAACGATAGGAACATGTCAAGTTCCCCTTTTTTGTGCAGTTGGCATTTTTTCCGTGTGTCTGTGTCACTTCGTCCCTCCATGTGACTCGAAGGTGACACTGTGTACAGTCCTGGAGGATAAACACAAATGGAACATGTGCTTCCCGAAACACAGACATGTTAGGTCCGCCTAACATTTGAATCTTGGTGCTTTACCTAAAATAATTATCCCCTAAATGAGTGAACAACCGGTGATGCTACATTCCTCATGTACAGACAATGAAATTAGCATTAACTGGTTAGCATTACTTCGGTGGAAACACATTTGGGTTCATTAGAAGTATTGTTCTCGTGTTGCATTAATCCACACAGTGAACCTTTTTAGCTTGCTTGCTAACAGCAAACATGTCAGTGTAAAGACAGTAAAAATGAACAGAACTGATCGGTTTTCTGAAGTTAATAGTCCAAAGTTGTAAATGATGATCTCAGGGATTGTTAGTCTTTTATCTCTTATACCATTTGTCCACCAGGTGGGGTTGTCCTGCGAATGTCTGTCTATTCTGTAGTGTAGCATCAGCTTCATTTGGCTCCTCCTCTCCTCCAGTGAACGTAGCCTCAGGGGTGAGTGCTGAGGGGTAATTGTTTGCACATAAGTAAAGTGAGAATAATAAACAGCAAAACATAGACCGGCTCGTCCATCAGACTTCACGTGTCAGTCCAAACACCGTGGCTCTCTGGCCAACACACACACATCACATGTGTCCTCCATGTGTGTTTATTAAAGTCATAATTAGCACCTGGACAGAAATGAAGTCTGACACATGTAATGACAAATTAGATTTGATAAATTCCCACCTTTATTTTCTCTCCGTCTCTTCGTTTCATGCGTCAAAGCCTAATTATTGTTGCACCAGATGTGTTTTTCCCTGATTTGCTATTTTATACTTCAAGATTAATAAAGCACTTGGTAATTACTGTCTGTCACTGTTGCCATGGAGACAATATCTACAGTCACATGACGGCCCCCCAAGGTGACCAGGAAGTGGTTTTTATGGCGGGTGGGGGGTTACAGGGCAGTTATGTGCGTGCAGCAGCTTGCCTCCTGATTTATGTGGAGCCCCTAATGACATCATATTCAACAGTGGAAAGGGCAATAAATTAGACATCAGCTAATGGTGGACTGAGCTCTCACTTTGTTAGCTAACACTCTTCATCTTTGTCCTCCTCATCTCAGTCAGTGCAGGTGTTTTAACCGCTATACTTGTTATTGTTTATTATGTGATCATGAGGGCTTTACACTAGCGTTCCATTAGGTGGCGCTGTTATCACAGTTTAATTTTGGTCTTGTGTTCTGTCACTGCATCATCGATGGGTTTTTTGTTTGTTTTTTTTTAACTGGATTGCTGATCTTTAGTGTTGTTTCCAACACCTCCATCACAGGTTTCTGTGTGTGCTGTGATAATAAAGTGACCTTTTTTTTCAGTAGCATCAACAGTTTGGCGCCCGTTCACCAATTAGAATGATTTTTTTTAAACCATCTATTTGATCGTATGGCTGTATGTCATGTCTGTTACAGATTTTATCGTTAGAGAGAACACACACACACACACCCATACGCAGCGTGTTGATAATGACAGGCATGCACAGTAGGTGTACTGTCAGTATTAAAGCTATTGACGTGTCTTTGATCACTGGGTCGGTCCGGGTCTCTGAGGAATACATGTGAGCGGATTAGGACGCTTCTGCTTTTGTGTGCACCAATTAGAAGAGACAAATTCTCATGTTGTGTGTGTGTGTGTGTGTGTGTGTGTGTGTGGTTACAGTGTGTCATATGGATTGGCACACCGCTGCTGTGTGAGCTGGTGTTAATAATACAGTCTTTATACTGTAGAGCAGACAGACGACACACATCTGTCTATTCAGTTGGATTGGTTTGAGTTATTTATTTTAAGTTTAGTTAAACTGTTAAAATGTAATTTTCTGGACATTTTCAATCTGCTCCGATAAAAATCTTCTACCATGGTTTTGACTGAGTTCATGTTTTTACACAGATAAAATACAAACAAAAACCTATATAAAGGATTAACTTCTAGCTGAAAGGAAACTGTCGCTGCAGCTAAAGCACTCGTACACGGGCGGTTGTGACCTGTTGAGCACAGTGGCTCGTCCACAGCCCAGAACAGCTGTGGTTGGATGTTTTATATGTGTTTGTCTGTGGTTGGATGTTTTTTGGTTGGTTTTTTTGGGGGGGGTTTTTTGGACATTGTGAGGAAATACAGTCTGTCTGAACAAATGTGTTCTTGGATGTTTCTCTACAGACGGTCAGAGGATGAGGTGGACATGGACAAGGTGACAGCTGCCATGGTCTTGACCAGCCTCTCCACCAGCCCACTTGTCAGGAGTCCTCCTGTCAAAGTCACCGGTGAGTGTCGTAACTGTTCAAATGCTGATTTTTCTGTACGGGTTTTAGGCTAATTAATGGTTAATGCTCCACATGTGGACGTTCATCTTCAGACTTCCACATATGACTGGTTCATGTAAAAACTGAACAAAAAGAAAATGAGCAGCTCAGCCTCAGCCACTCATTTGTCTGCTGGGTTACACACAGACTTCCAGTGCCTCGTGGGAATTACCTTGTGAATGTACCTGAAAGCTTTGGCTGAAAAAAAACTGCTGCCACCTGCTGTGCTGCAGGAAGCCGTCAAAAGGCACAGTCTGGATTTTTGCCACACATCTCTGTGGTGGAAATCCACAGTGGGCCGCTGCTGCAATCGCATGCAACCTCTCAGACAGTCTGTGCAACCCAACGGCTGCCCTTTCCAGCTGGCGAGTCCGACCACCACACACGTGTTATTAGAGTCACACATCCTCCAGTGGTCAGATGTTAAATGAGCATAGTGCACTCATGAACACCTGTGCTGCATCGACGTCTGTGGTCATTTAGTCACTCAGGTGATAAATATTACAATCATATTGTGTACAAGTTATTAGTTTGAACACCACACAATAAAGCTGTGACTTCATTAAAGGACTGCAGTTCATGCTACGTAGGACGATCCACATTTATTCAGTAAATATTAGTTCATGACTTTTCAGCTGGGTTTTTTAATTCAACACTGTGAAAAGTAAAGTCTTAGTTGAAACAAACCAACAAACTTCATCAAAATAGATTATAGATTTTTGAAAATAACAAAAAGAAGAAACCAAACCAGCTGCTTTGACTGAAGCATCTGCTATTGTGTTGCACATCCCATAATATCTGAGTGTATTCAGAGTAAATGAACTTAGACTAGTTTGAAGCTTGATATAAAGATTCATGTTATAATTCACATTCACATTTTTCACCATTGAACTGTGATAACTCAGCTGTCGTCAGGTTAAAAATGTTTTACTTTTGTCAGTCACGGAGCACGACAGCCATCAGCTGTTTCCTGGTTGTTAGTGAGATGCTTCCTGTCTTATGTAAGAACACACCCCACCGAGGGGAAGTCCCTCTCAACAAACTGTGTCTGCGTCGTTCTCTCCCTGGTCTGTGCAAAGTGCGAATCAGTGGCTTTCTGGTCTTGAACAGAAACATATCGTTGATCTAAGAAAAACAAGACCTTGGAGATGTGTCTGTGGAAACACAGGGCAGGAAAAGTAGCCCTTCCTTTCCTTGTACATCTGTCAGCAGCAGCGCTGTCAGACTCTTTTGTGTGAGGGACAAAAAGACTCTTTATGAATAGGTCCTGCTCTCCTAACACAGACACATTTAGCTGTGGTTGACACACACACACATATATATATATAACTGAATGTCTGAGTGGAACCTCATCTGAATTAAAGCCTTTGGATCAAACTTAAATCTAAATCTGTTTTGGCCTCCTTTCATCTCTGTTTCCCCTCAGAGGGTCTCAGTGGTTCATGGAAGGACAATGGTTCTGCAGGACCTTTCACTCCGTCCAGCAACAGTTCATCTGGAGGTTACTGGAGCTGGTCTGCCCCCAGCGACCAGTCCAACCCTTCCACTCCGTCCCCGCCGCTCTCCGCCGACAGCTTCAAACCTTTCAAGGTTCCCAGCATAGGGGGCGTGGGCCCCGGTCCCGCAGGCCCTGAGGATCCCAGCCTGGAAGACCAGGACGGCAGCAGCCTGCTGTTTGACGAGCCCATCCCTCGCAAGCGCAAGGTACGTGACATGTCGTCCTCAAAATAATTGATTTTCTTTTCTTTTTTTTTCTTTTCTTTTTGTAAAAAGAACAAATTTAGTTTTATTACTCATCTTTTTGGTTTTTAGCCTAGGTTATTATTTTATTATAATTATTTTTTTGTTCCTCTCGATCCGTCTGTGTGAGTGACCTCCTCAGACATCTGCCCCTCATAATTACCCCTGGGCCATTCCATGCAACCATTGTAATGATTTTAATATCCGTTAACGGCAAACATAAAGATCCTGTTGGCTGTGAAGGCTCTGGCAAAAACTCAATAACAGGTGAGCCCTGCATCAGCACATGGAGCTGTGATAATTAGGAAATCATCACTGAGGAGGTGAAGGAGGTGAAGGAGGAACAAAAATAGAAAATGGACAGTGGCTGAAGACAAAAGAGCTGCTGTGGACGCTTTGATATTGATGTCGTCATTTGCATACACACACACACACAAACACACTCTCTCTCTTCATATACAGTAATGAATATAAACAATGCCACAGATCCACATGAAATTACCTCCTTTGCTCCTTCACATCTCTCACAACCAGACCATACCAAGAGGAGCTCCCTATTTAATTAGCTGTGAATGCCTCTTTAAAGGGAACACACACACACACACACCATAACTGGCTGAACCTCACACACACACACAAAATATGCTTTTGTCACCCAAAGACAAAAACAATGCTCAGAAGGTGGATGATTGTTTTCTGAGTCCGGTTTGGCATGAAACAAGGGAAATTAAAATAAATTAAAAAAAAATAAAAACCTTGTCTAAATGAATTCAGATCCCTCAACCATACGTTGACGTTGATTGATGGCTGAAGGAGAACATGTGTGATGGAGCTCAGAGGAGGGCAGAGGAGAAGGAGCAGATGATGGAGGAAGCTCCCAGACCTGCTCCCTCCAGTGTTCCCTCTCTCCAGGAGACCCAGGGTGTAATTACAGCAGACAGATAAAAGATCCAGAAACATCCGCAGCTCACAGCCAGAGACAAATGTGCTGCTGTTTGTCTTGGTCTCTGCTTGGCCAAAAGTGTTTCCAAAACAGCATCATAGTGAAACTCCCTCAGCTTTGGTAGTTTTGGTTTGTAAATCTACTGTTTAATGACTGGACTGAAGAAAATATAGTTTGATCTGGAGGTGGACTTGTTTGATGGTGGGTAGAAGGTTCACTGAAGGAGGTGACTCAACAGTAGGTCTGGTCCATTGAGTCCATTTAGATTTCAGAACAAGTCTTTGCCTTGACATGTTTCCCTGGGGACATGACTTGGAGCCAAATCAAATTTATTTTTTACAGAACCTTTGGTGCTTTCCTGTTGGGGGAGTCATGTCATTTCCTCTCAAACCCGTTGATCCGACTGAGATTTGTCACTCCAGTGACCTGGAGTGAGACCTACATAGTACCTCCTGCACTTGTCCTGACAGCACTGTCTTTTTCTCCGTTTTTCCTGCAGAACTCCATGAAGGTGATGTTCAAGTGCCTGTGGAAGAACTGCGGCAAGATGCTGAGCACTGCTGCGGGAATCCAGAGACACATCCGCACCATCCACCTGGGGTAAGACCATAAACATGTCTGCCCACCTGAGGGCGGTCTTCAACCTTGAAGACCAAAGCCACAGGTTTTCTTCCACCCTCACAACAATGTCCCCTTCACTGAACTGACCAACAGACGCAGCTACGACTCCGACTGCAGCGACGGCGAGGAGGACTTCTACTACACAGAGATCAAGCTCAACACGGACTCGGTGGCCGACGGCCTCAGCAGCCTGTCACCCGTGTCTCCCACTGTCTTACTTGTCTGTGGTTGGATGTTTTTTGGTTGGTTTTTTTGGGGGGGGTTTTTTGGACATTGTGAGGAAATACAGTCTGTCTGAACAAATGTGTTCTTGGATGTTTCTCTACAGACGGTCAGAGGATGAGGTGGACATGGACAAGGTGACAGCTGCCATGGTCTTGACCAGCCTCTCCACCAGCCCACTTGTCAGGAGTCCTCCTGTCAAAGTCACCGGTGAGTGTCGTAACTGTTCAAATGCTGATTTTTCTGTACGGGTTTTAGGCTAATTAATGGTTAATGCTCCACATGTGGACGTTCATCTTCAGACTTCCACATATGACTGGTTCATGTAAAAACTGAACAAAAAGAAAATGAGCAGCTCAGCCTCAGCCACTCATTTGTCTGCTGGGTTACACACAGACTCCTCAGTGCCTCGTGGGAATTACCTTGTGAATGTACCTGAAAGCTTTGGCTGAAAAAAAACTGCTGCCACCTGCTGTGCTGCAGGAAGCCGTCAAAAGGCACAGTCTGGATTTTTGCCACACATCTCTGTGGTGGAAATCCACAGTGGGCCGCTGCTGCAATCGCATGCAACCTCTCAGACGGTCTGTGCAACCCAACGGCTGCCCTTTCCAGCTGGCGAGTCCGACCACCACACACGTGTTATTAGAGTCACACATCCTCCAGTGGTCAGATGTTAAATGAGCATAGTGCACTCATGAACACCTGTGCTGCATCGACGTCTGTGGTCATTTAGTCACTCAGGTGATAAATATTACAATCATATTGTGTACAAGTTATTAGTTTGAACACCACACAATAAAGCTGTGACTTCATTAAAGGACTGCAGTTCATGCTACGTAGGACAATCCACATTTATTCAGTAAATATTAGTTCATGACTTTTCAGCTGGGTTTTTTAATTCAACACTGTGAAAAGTAAAGTCTTAGTTGAAACAAACCAACAAACTTCATCAAAATAGATTATAGATTTTTGAAAATAACAAAAAGAAGAAACCAAACCAGCTGCTTTGACTGAAGCATCTGCTATTGTGTTGCACATCCCATAATATCTGAGTGTATTCAGAGTAAATGAACTTAGACTAGTTTGAAGCTTGATATAAAGATTCATGTTATAATTCACATTCACATTTTTCACCATTGAACTGTGATAACTCAGCTGTCGTCAGGTTAAAAATGTTTTACTTTTGTCAGTCACGGAGCACGACAGCCATCAGCTGTTTCCTGGTTGTTAGTGAGATGCTTCCTGTCTTATGTAAGAACACACCCCACCGAGGGGAAGTCCCTCTCAACAAACTGTGTCTGCGTCGTTCTCTCCCTGGTCTGTGCAAAGTGCGAATCAGTGGCTTTCTGGTCTTGAACAGAAACATATCGTTGATCTAAGAAAAACAAGACCTTGGAGATGTGTCTGTGGAAACACAGGGCAGGAAAAGTAGCCCTTCCTTTCCTTGTACATCTGTCAGCAGCAGCGCTGTCAGACTCTTTTGTGTGAGGGACAAAAAGACTCTTTATGAATAGGTCCTGCTCTCCTAACACAGACACATTTAGCTGTGGTTGACACACACACACACACACATATATATATATAACTGAATGTCTGAGTGGAACCTCATCTGAATTAAAGCCTTTGGATCAAACTTAAATCTAAATCTGTTTTGGCCTCCTTTCATCTCTGTTTCCCCTCAGAGGGTCTCAGTGGTTCATGGAAGGACAATGGTTCTGCAGGACCTTTCACTCCGTCCAGCAACAGTTCATCTGGAGGTTACTGGAGCTGGTCTGCCCCCAGCGACCAGTCCAACCCTTCCACTCCGTCCCCGCCGCTCTCCGCCGACAGCTTCAAACCTTTCAAGGTTCCCAGCATAGGGGGCGTGGGCCCCGGTCCCGCAGGCCCTGAGGATCCCAGCCTGGAAGACCAGGACGGCAGCAGCCTGCTGTTTGACGAGCCCATCCCTCGCAAGCGCAAGGTACGTGACATGTCGTCCTCAAAATAATTGATTTTCTTTTCTTTTTTTTTCTTTTCTTTTTGTAAAAAGAACAAATTTAGTTTTATTACTCATCTTTTTGGTTTTTAGCCTAGGTTATTATTTTATTATAATTATTTTTTTGTTCCTCTCGATCCGTCTGTGTGAGTGACCTCCTCAGACATCTGCCCCTCATAATTACCCCTGGGCCATTCCATGCAACCATTGTAATGATTTTAATATCCGTTAACGGCAAACATAAAGATCCTGTTGGCTGTGAAGGCTCTGGCAAAAACTCAATAACAGGTGAGCCCTGCATCAGCACATGGAGCTGTGATAATTAGGAAATCATCACTGAGGAGGTGAAGGAGGTGAAGGAGGGAGGCACCAGGGAAGGAGGTGAAGGAGGTGAAGGAGGAACAAAAATAGAAAATGGACAGTGGCTGAAGACAAAAGAGCTGCTGTGGACGCTTTGATATTGATGTCGTCATTTGCATACACACACACACACAAACACTCTCTCTCTTCATATACAGTAATGAATATAAACAATGCCACAGATCCACATGAAATTACCTCCTTTGCTCCTTCACATCTCTCACAACCAGACCATACCAAGAGGAGCTCCCTATTTAATTAGCTGTGAATGCCTCTTTAAAGGGAACACACACACACACACACCATAACTGGCTGAACCTCACACACACACACAAAATATGCTTTTGTCACCCAAAGACAAAAACAATGCTCAGAAGGTGGATGATTGTTTTCTGAGTCCGGTTTGGCATGAAACAAGGGAAATTAAAATAAATTAAAAAAAATAAAAACCTTGTCTAAATGAATTCAGATCCCTCAACCATACGTTGACGTTGATTGATGGCTGAAGGAGAACATGTGTGATGGAGCTCAGAGGAGGGCAGAGGAGAAGGAGCAGATGATGGAGGAAGCTCCCAGACCTGCTCCCTCCAGTGTTCCCTCTCTCCAGGAGACCCAGGGTGTAATTACAGCAGACAGATAAAAGATCCAGAAACATCCGCAGCTCACAGCCAGAGACAAATGTGCTGCTGTTTGTCTTGGTCTCTGCTTGGCCAAAAGTGTTTCCAAAACAGCATCATAGTGAAACTCCCTCAGCTTTGGTAGTTTTGGTTTGTAAATCTACTGTTTAATGACTGGACTGAAGAAAATATAGTTTGATCTGGAGGTGGACTTGTTTGATGGTGGGTAGAAGGTTCACTGAAGGAGGTGACTCAACAGTAGGTCTGGTCCATTGAGTCCATTTAGATTTCAGAACAAGTCTTTGCCTTGACATGTTTCCCTGGGGACATGACTTGGAGCCAAATCAAATTTATTTTTTACAGAACCTTTGGTGCTTTCCTGTTGGGGGAGTCATGTCATTTCCTCTCAAACCCGTTGATCCGACTGAGATTTGTCACTCCAGTGACCTGGAGTGAGACCTACATAGTACCTCCTGCACTTGTCCTGACAGCACTGTCTTTTTCTCCGTTTTTCCTGCAGAACTCCATGAAGGTGATGTTCAAGTGCCTGTGGAAGAACTGCGGCAAGATGCTGAGCACTGCTGCGGGAATCCAGAGACACATCCGCACCATCCACCTGGGGTAAGACCATAAACATGTCTGCCCACCTGAGGGCGGTCTTCAACCTTGAAGACCAAAGCCACAGGTTTTCTTCCACCCTCACAACAATGTCCCCTTCACTGAACTGACCAACAGACGCAGCTACGACTCCGACTGCAGCGACGGCGAGGAGGACTTCTACTACACAGAGATCAAGCTCAACACGGACTCGGTGGCCGACGGCCTCAGCAGCCTGTCACCCGTGTCTCCCACTGTCTTACCCCGCCCTCCCCTCCCTCCCTCCCCCTTACCTCCTCCGGGCCATCTGCCAGACTCCCACAAGCCCCCGCCGTCCTCTGACACCAAGGAGCCCCACGCCGGCGGCACCACCCCGCTCAGCCGCTCGGCGCCCAGCGCCCTCTACCTCATCCACACGGATCATGCCTACCAGGTACCGTACAGACGTTCAGGTTACACACGCATATGACACAGCACGTGATCGATGAGTTAACGATACACACACCAGCGCTAAACATGGTCACGCACAAAATGCTGCCTGTTAGCCTGATAATGTGTCACAACGTGACTTCGCTGCTGTTAACAATATATCATTGATTTCAGACTAAAACCTGAGTTATATTGAAGTGTCTATTGTCAAACAGTCATGATATTTTTTCTCATATTTATCTGTGTTTATTCAAATATCTGTCATTCGTCCATCTTTCCTCCATTTAAGTCTTAACTCAAAGTGTTTTCACCAGGGAATTCCTCTAGGATTCTCAGAGAAATGTCTTTGGCACCAGGTCACAACCTGCTTCTACGGTTCTCTTTGGTTTCAAAAACTTGACATTTGCTTTGATTCAAAGATTGTTCATTGTTAAGAGTTCCAAATTTTAACATCTAAAACACAGACTTTTAGTCTTTTGAGACAACTGAAAGACGTGTCTTAACAGACACACATATATAACATCTGTCTTTCATATGTTTAACTAACCTTCATATCTTAACATTAACTTGATGTAGTTGTTAAAGAAAGTATGTTGAATGTTTCATTCATCTTTTTTTTCCCTCTTTGTTTTTTAATTAGCTGTGGAGTAAAGCCAGCTCTAAATAAAAACACCTGAAAAAGCACAGAAGGTTCCTTTAATCAGGCCTTTGATTGTGTTCTGGAGTAATAGCAGGAAGTTGTTCAAGTTCTGACCTCTTCACCTCTGCCCTCAGGCCACAGCACCAGTGTCCATCCCGTCCAGCAGCAGTAACTCCACAGCCTTGGGCTCCACCAGCTTCACCCCCACCAACAGCTCCGGCTTCAGTATCTCCTGGCAGTCTCCACCCGTCACTTTCACTGGGAACACGGTGATTGAATTCACTGATTATGTTCATTAAAAAAAGCGACATCTGCGTCGATGTGCTGTGTACTAATGGTGTCTCTGTGGACTCCTGTCCACCCTCCTGTCCCACAGGTGTCTCCCAGTAAAAGCCAGGGTTTTGGTGAACAGCGTTCTCAGATGATCGCCGTCCTCTCCTCTCCACCCAGAGCCACCACAGCTCTCAGGTACTGCATCAGTTCATAACGAAGCAGATATACAGTACCAACCTGATCTATAAGGATTCACCAGTACTGGCCTGATACTTCAGTCAAATACTTGGATTACAAATCTGTGCTGATGAATGACACGACACTCCCTCACAGATTTCCACTGAGACCAGCTGCTTGTTGCTCAGCCAGTGGTTTTCCTGTTTTTCTTTCTGCCGTTCAGCGTCTCAGTGTCCTCAGGCACAGTTTACCTGAGGACGAGGCGTAGCGCTAAACCAGCTAACGTCTCTTCTCAGTTCAACAGCACGGGGCCTTACAGCTGACCACGTCACTTTTTTGCTGTGTGTTCAGTGACACTGTGCTGAGACAGTGTTTTTACCTGACATGCACTGTCTGCTGTAAGAGCTCAGCCGGCTGTGGTAACTGAAGGGAAAGTTTACATTGTATTCACCTTTATTTTTAAAAGGCTATTTTCCTTTATTTCATTCTTAGTGTTTTAGATACATGAGTCCACCTGAAGAATTACGTTTAACTTTCTTGTCTCGTTCCCCTGCAGTCGTAAGGTTCGCGGCGAGGGCAAGAAGTGCCGTAAGGTGTACGGGATGGAGAACCGCGACATGTGGTGCACCGCCTGCCGCTGGAAGAAAGCCTGCCAGAGATTCACCGACTGAGCCGACCGCGAGCTCCACCGCAACGGCCTGCTACGCTAACCGGCTCTGCAGCCTTCTGCCACAGACAGAGGGCAGAGGTGTCACTTTGCATGCATTTGGTTTTCCTCAGCTAAAACAAAAAAAAAAGTCAACTGTCTTTCAAGCTCTGGCCCCGCCCCCTCCAACTCCCGTCACCCATTCCATCTGCGGAAACTTCCAGAGGACGACACACGGTCACCTTTTATAGTGCTGTCCAGGATTCCCAGCTCTGCCTCGCCATTTCCATAGTTCCCACTTTTGGGAATTGCCCAGTGCAGCTAAACAGTGTAAATTGTTGGGTTCAGTGTTGCATCTTTCTATGTTTTGTAAAAGTCCTGCTTTTTAAATGGGAAGTCTTGTCAGAGAAAGGGTCGAGAACAGAGCTTTCCTGTGTGTTTTGTCAAAAGGAGAAAAAAAACTCTTCTTCTTTTTTCTTTTTCAAATTGAGAAAAACCTTCTTTGCTGCAGTTTTTGAGAAACTTACCAAGAACGCACGGAGGTGAAGCTCACTCTTTCTGTTCTTCCTTCCTCGGTCGATGACATACATTTTTGAGGAGGTGGAGATTTATGGCCAAAATCACAGCGTCTCCTGGACTCCAACTTGTTCCTCGCCATCAACATCCACGGAGGAACTAACGGCAGTCCAGCCAATCGTTGGGTTCAAATGGAGATAAACTAGCTGAATGATCAATGCAACACAAACGTACAGTCAGGGAAAGACGACGGGCCGTACCAGCAGTTCATCGCCTACAAAACACACAGAGAAACCACACAGATATTTTCACCTAATCCTAACAGAAGACAGGAACTGTTTTTTTATCTCACTTTTTTTACTTGGTTGATTTGTTTTCTTTGGTTAATCAGGGATGTGATTCTGAAGAAAGCAAAAACCAGCAGCTAAATCCTGGGGGTTCTACTGTCAACAGCACTATCTCCAAGGCTTCTGTACACCTGGCAGACTTAGCAACCAAAATCTTCACCTATTTTTCTGTTGAATCTTGTCAAGGTGCCATGTAAACTGTTGTTGATGATGTGGTTATTCTTTTTGTTTAATTCTCTCTTCTTCTTCTTCTTCTTTTCTTTTTGGCGCTCCCAAGACTGTTCACCTGTTGATGGTTGAAAGAAAAACTGTGTTAAAAGAAAAAAAAAAGCTTCCTGGAAGCACTGGAAGCAGGAAGTTAACAGCATGAAAAAAGATGAGCATCTCTTAACACGTACGTAGAGACAAAGTGCTCTCCTCCTGTTCCTCCTCTGCCTCCTCCTCATCATTCACTCCTCCACAAAGGCAAAGAAAAACACTTTGTGTTTACCTGCATCAGAGCAGAGTCTGTTAAACGACAACAGGAGGAGGACGGAAAAACCAAAAGTGAGGCACCGGCACTGTATGTGTCAAACAGAGCACTTGCCTAAAAAAAACTCTGGAGTCACTTTTAGAGAGTCGGAAACACAAGTCTTCAAATATCTTCCACTCGACTCTCTCCATTTCTGTGTTGAGAAAAGGAAAAACAAAAATTAGAAAGAAAAAAAAATTCAGATAAGGGCAGTCTTCATCCCTCATTTTGAATCATTGTCACAGACAAAAACAAAATGTTGGGGCGGGGGTTGTCAAACGTTACTAGCACTTGATTCATTGTTTAAACGTGCACTGCACCTTTTCATTCACCCGGCAAATGCTTAGAGTGCTAGTGATCGGCAAACAAATGTTACTGAGGAGGTGAATGTGTTCTTTCTAAAAAAAAAAAAAAAAAAAAAATCCCCTGGCCTATTGTTTGGCTCACAGGCCGGAAACAAAAAGAAAATTTCACAGAAGCCAAATCGTTTACAGATGTTCACTCGGCACTGAGAGACGGACCAAGTGGAGTTTGTCACCAGGAGCTGCGATCTGATTCATTTTCCATGTCATGGAGTCGACCCTGCGTCCAACCAACAAACACAGAAGGTCTTTGTTGCAGCATCATGTGAAATTTAGTTTGAACACACACTGAAATCTCTACGGCAGACAGAATTATTTTCTTTTTACAGCAGAATTATTTGAATCCAACACCAGCTAATAAACTCACGCACACACACACACACACACACACTGACATACACACTCTCTCACACACACAGTTTAAGAATCTGTACTTCCGTAGCTCTGTTAAATTTGCTCTATAGTTTCACTTTATTTTTCATGTATATATGAACATGTGTCTTTCTTGTATTTCTCCCTCTCGTTCCCGACAGAGATGTGAGCTAATTGGCTGTGCTGCTTTGGCTAGGCTAAGCTAAGCTAAGCTAGGCTATGAGCTTCATGTTTACATTCACAACTTTGAAACAGGACAGCTTCCAGTCCCAGCCAGCATGTCTACATGGGACACAAACGAACCAAGTTGGGTTTTGATTGGAACTATGAAACGAATGCTGGCTGTGACTATGAAACTGTACAGTTGAACCTGTCAGACGACTAGTTTTTTGTTCTTTGTTTTTATTTCTCATTAAGGAATAGCCTTTAAGTCACGGTTTAAGAAAAAAAAGTTTCTTCTCCTCCTTCTTCTTCTGTGTCCTTACATCAATGTTTGCTTCAGAAATATTTAGAAGATCTACAAACTGATTTCCCATTGTATTATTATGTGAACGTATTATTGTTTGAGAAAAAGACAAATCTATATATACAGTACATAAGAGAAGAAACATGTTCAAAGCAAAAAAAAGAGATGTTGATTTGGCTGCTTTTATTTTTTTCATATATGTATATGGATCTACAGTATATACTTTATTGGTTTTGTTTTCATGTTCTGCTAAAGGAAGGTTTTTGTTGGTAGAATTGTTTTTGAATGTGAGCGAGAATCTAAAGGACATAGTGGTGCAGAAGTCTTCAGCCCCCCTTGGTTTTTTTTTTTTCCCTGTAAATGACCCTGACAGACACACTGGTCTACAGTCAGTGCAGACGTCTCACAGCCCACCGTCCTCAGTCTGCTTAATTTGCTTATACTTCCACATGGTGTGAAAAACTTTTCAGTGACGTTAACAAAGTTAACACATTGTCCACAACCACAGTACTAAGTTACATTTCAAGACAATATATGTTTATGTCAATTTAAATTCAGCTTAAATTTTAACCATGTAGAGACTGGACAGCGTTGATATGAACCTGTGTTGACAAGTTTAATATTTATGTTTTGCAAAAATGTCATTTCCTTTAATTTGTGTTGAGGACATAGTCAAAATAAGAGGAACTATAAATCAGATACTGATAACCAATCAGGATACTCTGGGAAACGTTTCATTTTCAAATGCGGGGACATGGTCAACATGAACCTGGGACAGGGGGTTGGACCAAACAACAAACATGCAAAGACCAGTTTTCAGGTCTCCTTCCAAAGGCGTAGTAAACTCTTGACCTTTAACAGGCACGATCTCCCACCTTGACATGCTGTCCTGATCAAATTTTAGAGGCTCTTATTTTTCTGTTACTGAAAGAAGTTTTTGTTTAACTGAGTTGCACTAGAACGATTTTTGTCACATTTCCTGGGTGAATTATTTAAAAAAAAGAACAGGGGGATCTCCAGACTTCTGCACACAGGTTGTAAGTGTCACAGCGAGCCAAGCCTATTAAGATCTTTTTCAGTGAGAGCGACCCGCGTGCCCCCCCACCTGACACTCCCTCACATCACACTCACCTGTCGGCCCGGCTTAGTGGTCGAGAGCAGGTGATTAAAATCCTGTAACTTATTTCCAGGGGTCCTCTCCCAGTGTCATCAGGGCCCACCTGCAATTAGTGTGATTGACATCTGTGTGTGTCCACGTGTGGACGTGAGGGAGCCGTGGGCGAGGTTGCGGGGCTGCCACTGAAGCTCGGTGCTCTGCTCCCCAGGGGTTACACCCCCTTAACAAATTGCCTGTGGCATTTTCCCTTTCGGGGTGTGTGCAGCTCCAGTCCACTTCCAGACTCCTGGAGACACAACAAACAACAACACCCAGGAGTTCAAGAATGTTTTTTTTATGTGTACGTCCATGCACTTTCCACTACCCTTTCTCCATCGATGTGGTGCTACATGTTTGTGCTCAGACCATCTCCATTAGTGTGTGGATGCTTTTTTATTTCTTAACATGGCAGCATCACCAGGCAGCTAATCCCATAAAGAAGAAGCTCACTCTTAATGCCTGTTGTAGGTCATTGCTGTCTCTGATCCAATGGCTAACACAAAAGTGACCAAAATAAGCTAAACTCCCAGCTAATGTAAAAATCCATCCACATCTGCTGCCATGTTTCTCAAGCTTCTCCTTCTCCTCGTAGATCGATGTGGAATCCTGAGATTTGTTTACACACTGTGACCTGCGCGGCTTTTGTTCACACTCGAAATATCTTAGCCTTGACCTTAGCATGAAGGTGCTTTCAGAGACATACAGCCCAGGTCTGTGTTTGTGTCATGGTGATTATCCGCTGCCGCGGCATCATCAGGAGAGAGAAATTGAGGTGCTATGATTTTTTTTTTCCCCATGCATTGCTGTTTCTCCCACATGTCCTCATTTAACTCCATCTGTACGCTATGTTATTGCTGTAGAACATGAAAATAAAAACACCCTGCCTCAAGTCTGCTGAGTGTCCCAACACTAGTCAGTAGGAGGGCGGCCCAGCCCCGAACCTCTCTCTCTCTTCACTCCTACTTCCTCATTCTCTCCAGGATTGTAGTAGAAGCATAGGAGGACTTCCTAAATGCTCTAAACTAAGAGAACGTTCACCTCTGTACGATCATCCTCAGCTGTTCTTGTATTAGAAAAACTGTCGACTCAAGGTCATTTTACAGAGATTTTATCCTGGAGCTTCAGACCACAACAATAGATGTTTTTTTTTGTTTGTTTTTTTTTCCTGCGTCATCTTTAACCTGCAGGTGGAATATTAAATAAAATATTTTAATTAGTCTTTTTAGTAACAGATTCTTTTCTGTAATTTCAGTTAAATGCAGGCCCTTTGGGGTTCATTTTTGGAGTTAATTATAAGCTGTTTTTCCCTCCTGTGAAGAAGGAACAAATCTGACCATTTTTATTGGTTATTGAATGATTTTGGCATTTGATTTCATTAGATGTTGCCACAGCGTTGGTTTCCATAGTGATTTGGCTCAGTTTTCATGCCAGATGCAGTTTCTAAAGGAACTGTTGCCTTGTTCCAGCAGGGTTTAGAGTTGAGGGGACGGTAGATGTGAACCCAGCACCTAGTTACATAACAAAAACCTCAGGATCCCTTTTTAAAAAGAAGAAAACAATCAGCTGAGAGGCAAATTAAAAAATAAATAATGCACATAATTTGATTTTAGAATTTTCTACTTTAAACAGCAGAATAATATCTACATAATGTCCACTTGGATTAACAGTAGCAGAGTTTAGCTTCATGTTTTTTTGTTTAATAAATGGTCTCATGGTATTAAAAAAAAAGTTTTCTCTTGAATCTGAACAAACTAAGATGTGGAGCTGGGCTGAGGGTCTGGGTCTCATCATTTGATGAAGTGGTCTAAAGCTCCAGTGGTATTACTGGAACAAGCCTTGGGTTGAAAGTGTGTCTCAAGCATGGTCTACATATTCAGTTTGTTCTATGCAGACGTTTTATTTTGAATGAGACAGATGGCAGCCCTGACAGGGCTTTAAGGTGTTGTCGGGGATGTGATACGATAACTGTTTAATTATTAGACGATTTACTACAGTTCAGGCAAACTGGCTGACAGACATGCCATTAAATTACCAAACATGCCGTATGGCTCCATCCTCAGGATCTGATCATCTGACTTATTCATGCTGAAGCAGTGTTGAGGCCCACAACCTGCAGGGAGAGAGCAGCGGAACACAAACACAGAACCAGAAGTTGTGAAACAAGTATCAAACAGCTGGTGTAGGCTGCACTGCTATATGAATACTGAGTGTGTGGAGCCTTTTCTGTAGTCTTTTGTATTTTATTTGCCATCAAACTTTGGTGGGTGATGCTGCTGTTGTGTGTCCATCCCCTCCACTGTTTCTTTATCAGAGGGCATGATTTATAATCCACATAAAACCACACAGCATGTTTCTGCTGAGGGACAGTGTTAAAATCAACATGTGTTATGGTGTTTCTTAGACATATACGTCTTTACATCTACAGTGATCTGAGCAGTGACAGTGTTAACACTAGTTGGTAATTGTTTTATAAAAACCCCAGCTGTATGTCGCTGACTTTCACTCTGATCAATGTTTCATACATGACAAGGCTTGTTGGTGACAACAGGCTGACGCATAGTATATTAGACTTAATATCATCTAAGTAAATGTCAATATATGCTACAGTATATATAGATTGAGATGCAGCACAGTACAACTAAGCTATGAAATCAGTGTATCAATGTGGTCATGTGATGCTTTGACTTTCATTCTTGCTGAATTCCTGACTTTTTACTCTATTATTTGTGCCATCAACTCCAGGAGTTGAGGTTATCAAATAAAATATATGTGATGCCATTAGGTCGCCGAGTTTTGTCAACAATGTGAAGTTCTAGATTTAGACTGGGAGATTTCTGCTAGTTTCAGATTAATCTCAATGTCAATGGAAGTCTATTATCGAGATGCTAAACTGTCACAAACAGTTTCTCCTGATTGTCATTTAAATATCTTGTTAATCCTGGAATTATGTTCCAATTTAAGGGAAAATGAAAAATAAAACAATTGGCAATGGTGCAACCCTTTGAGCTTAGGTAGGTAAGCACATCACAACTGGTTGCGCCGCCGGAAACATTTTGGCTGACTTCCGGTTGTGCTTTTAATTTGGAGGTACCGTCAGCGTTTCAGATCAGACTTCCTGCCAATGGTGTAAAATAGCATCGGTTAGAAACAAAACAAACAGCGTCACAGATAAACAACTGTAGCAATTGTTTAGACGTCAGCAGCCCTCCGAGAAGCACCAGGTAAATATTTGCTGAAACAAAAACTTGTTTTGTGTTTCCGAATTTTTAAGTTATATGTTTTAATTCGCAAATAATTGTCATTATTATTTAACGATAAGCTATGTTCCCCCTTTATGGCTTTAAATTAATTATATCACCGTCTTTTGGTGGACGTTTTACACAAAATATGCTGATTTAATTTAGATAAGTAAACACTTCTTTTCTGACTAGATATAAATAGAAACTTAACCAACCTAATTTGGCAGCTGTTTTGTATCTTTATTCAAAGACTCGCTCTAAACAATGCTAGTTAAACTCATAGCATACATAGCATACAGTTGACACGAGAGTGGGCTGGTCTGTTTACCGTGTGGGTGTCATCCACACTAAAGAGAAACTCCTGGGTTCTGCTTCCTGAATTATGGATATACTTGTGAAAACCACAGAACACTTGTAGTCTGCTTCTCAGAACTTCACCTTCACATCTGCATAGCTATCTTTATTTTTCATGTTTGATCAAAGATTGTCCTTGTTACAATGAGGTGACATCAGGGGACACTTGATGTCACAATTAATTGTAATTACACAAGTTGGAGTATTGCATAAACTATCTGGCCTGTCTTTCTATAAGTACACACCTTTGGGTAGCCAGATCTTTACCTTACATGACTGCAAGGTTGGTTTTTTTGTTTGTTGTTGTTTTATCTGTCAAGCATCCAGAACCTCTCTGGAACGGA